GATTCAAGCCTAGCCCTGGCCAAAACCTGCAACAACAACAACAACAAAAGAAAACAAACAAACAAAACAAAACCCCCCACACAAATCAAAACCCACTTTTCTCCTGGTTCTAAACACACACACTGCTGTAGGAAACTTATCAAATGTAAAACACCATATGTACTAAGGATCATCATAATCTAGTCATTCAGAGGTAAATATTACTAAAAGTTTGGTATAATTCCTTCTTTTTAAACATTTTTTTAGGGAGAGGGTCTCACTCTGCTGCCCAGGCCAGAGCTTAGTGGCATGAGCATAGCTCACTTCAGCCTCAAACTCTTGGGCTCAAGGGATTGTCCTGCCTCAGCCTCCAAGTAGCTGGGATTGAAAGGCACCCACCACCACGCCTAGCTAATTGTTTACTTTTTTATAGAGATAGAGGTCTTACTATGTTGCCTCGGCTGATCTTGAACTCCTAGTCTCAAACAATCCAGCTGCCTCAGCCTCCCCAAGTGCTGGGATTACAGGTGTGAGCCACCACACCTTTTCTCCTTCTGACCTTAATAGACACCTTCCAGATGTCTGCCTGGTCCAGAGGGGTTCAGAATATGCCACTCCAAAAACATGATGGTTTTTTCTTTTAGGAAACTTAACCATCTTTTGCCGGGGAAGATTAGATGCATTCATTTGGAACAGTTAAAGAATAAATAAATGTACATAATCAATAACAAAGTTACACAGTATGGACTACTGCGGGGAGGGGGGAGAAGAGAGGAAGGGTAGAGGGGAGGGGTAGAGGGGAGGAGGAAAGGGATTATTGTGCTCTCTGGTGTAAGGATATTTTGAGCTGAAGGCAATTGAGAAAACGCAGACACGGGACAAACCCTTTGCCATTCCTCTGTCTGCGGTGATGATTCTTGATCACTGGAGGCAACTCTAGACTCTTAGAAACCTGGAGTCAGCACCAGAGGAATCTACACAGGAAACCTTGTTGAAACTAGGCCCTGTCTCGCATCGGTTCCATACATATTTACTGTCCCGCAGTTTTCTACCTTTGGAATCCCTTTTCCTTTGTCACTTTTTTGCAAATTTATGCTTTTGTTGTTTTTTTTAAAGTGTCAGATTAATAGGCGGGTAGAGATGATTAGGTTACAATGCTTGCATTGGTTAGGAAAGGTCTCTGCTGTTGCAGTTGGCCTTCCCCCAGGAGGTGTGCCTGGTCCCCTTACATTGTGCTGATTGGGTGAGAGCACAACAACCCTCCTCCCTCCTCTCCTCGGCCCCTCCCTCCTCCTCCCAACTGAAATTAAATTGAATTTTTCTCTTGCCTGGGCTATGCTTTCATTGTTAAAAAAAGTTACTATGTTAAAAAACACATTTATACTTTTCTGTTACGATGCTATATAAGCCCCAAGTTTTTTGTTTTGTTTTGTTTTTTGAGACTGATTCTTGCCAGGGGGCCCAGGCTGGCCCAGAACTCCTGGGCTAAAGCAATCAAGTAGCTGGGACCACAGGTGTGGGTGCAGCTCTGAGCCCCAAGTTTTAACAACCCCTTAAAGTTCCTCATGGTTGAATTCTTCCCTGTGTTAATAAACTTCCCTTTCTTTTCCTTTTGATAACCTGTCTTTTGTCAGTCTAATTTAAACCTAGCCAGAGAACCCAGGAGGGTAGAGGAAAAAGAAATTTTCCCTTCCCCTGTGTCCTGAATAATTACCTACAGGAATGCAGCCCTGCAGCCAGGTAGACAAAATGACCCTTGGCTTTCTGGCCATATCCAATTGGATGAGAAGTAGACCTGTCTACTCAAGCTGGGCTAATTCACTTCTATATGCCAGAAATTTGAAATTATGCTGCTGAAAGTCTAGTCAGTCCCTGATGATTATTTCAACTGGGAGGTCCTGGTTAGCCCCCATTTAACAGTGGAGAAAAAGCTGGTGGGCAGGGAAAGTGATGAAGGAACTAATCAAGAGGGTCCTGAGAACATGGGGTCCCCGGGAACAGGGGACCATGCTGCCCTGGTCCTCGGAGTTTTCCAGTTGCCACTCTTGAGTCTGGGAGACTCCCTCATACCCCTGCCATTTGTTTGTTTGTTTGTTTTTTTAAGCTGATTTGAGTGTTTCCTTCAACTACAGGGATCCCTAAACCAATACCAATGCATGTGCTTTGACATAGTTAAGATGATATGGTTTTGTGATTTGCTTTTTCCATTTGATGTATATTATGAATGTGTCTTCATGCCAATAAACTTATTTTGTAAATGGAATTTTTCTAATGCTTGGTTGGCTCCAGTGAATAGAAGCATTAAAATTACTCTACTAGGCTAACTATTTTTAAATATTTTGTTTGTGATCAAGGGCTGACGGCCACAAATAAAGTTGCAGAGTGTAGCTTTGTCATCTTTGTTCATAGCTTATATTGTTTCCTGAGGAATTATTTCCAAGAGTGGAATTATTGGGTGTAAATATTTTTGAAATTATTATATATGCTTTCAGTTTTGGGGTTTTTTTTGAGTCACAGTCTCACTATGTCACCCCTGGTAGGACACTGTGACATCACAGCTCACAGCAACCTCAGAATTGCTTGGACTTAAGCAATTCTCTTGCTCTCTTGCCTCAGCCTCCCAAGTAGTGGGGACTACAGGCATCCGCCACAATGCCTGGCTGTTTTTCTTTTGTTGTTGTTGTAGTAGCAGTTGTCATTGTTGTCTATCCTGAGCTGCGTTTGAACCCACCAGCCCTGGTG